TGCCTGGCATGTGAGAGGCACTGGGTTCAATTCTCAGCACCACATATAAATCAATAATAAATAAAGGTCTATCAACAAATTTAAAAAAATATTTAAAAAAAAAAAAGAAACTGCTGCTGGGGTTAGAAAGGACTTTGTAGGGTTCGGTTCAAAAGGAAAACCATATTTGTACTTCAAATGTATAGAAGAGATCCAAGAAGCCTCTTTACCTCTGATCAAAATTCTCTGTAATGTCATATCCATGCCCTTATATTCCTTAATCTTGCCTCAGCCTCCAAATTTTCATCCATGCTATGCTGTAGTTCCTCACTTTTGTTGCACATATCCATTCTCATCTGCTCCTACCCTTATCCCAATGAGACCCTTGTTCCTTGAATTTGAACAGACAGAAAAAGATGCTATGAAAAGAACTTGAGATCATCTAAGATTTGGTGAGCTTTCCTGTTCAATATTTCTTGGAGTCTGAATGTCCCAAATTCTTGACCACTCTATTAAGGAAATAAATCTGACTCAAGGGAGACTCAGAACACAGTTTGCGTCTCTAAATCTATATGTTTATATGTAAATCTCTATATGTGTTTTGTGGTATGGGGGATTGAACCCAGGGACACTCTATAACTGAGCTGTAGCCCCAGACTACCTCCTTTTTTTTAAAGATAATCTTGTTAAACTGCCAATGGCCTTGAACTTGCAAAACTCCTGCACTGGCCTCCTAGGCTCAGAGTCACATGCTATAATTCTAGTGACTCAGGAGGACAAGGCAGAAGGATTGCAAGTTTAGGAGCAACTTGAGCAACTTAACAAGATTCTCTCAATTTTTTTTTTTTTAAAAATTGTAGCTTACTGGTAAAGCATTTGTCTAGCACGCACAAGGCCCCTAGTTTCAATGTCTAGTATAGGAAAAAGAAAAGAAAGGAAGAAAAACCCTACATTTAAAAAGAAAAGGCTAGCTAGAGTTGTGGCTCAGCGGTAGAGCGCTCACCTAGTGATGTGAGGCCCTGGGTTCGATCCTCAGCACCACATAAAAATAAAAAATAAAGGTATTGTGTTCAACTACAACTAAATAAACAAAATTAAAAAAAAAAAAGAAAAAGAAAAGGCCAACTTCTGTGTGTGCTTATTTGAATTCTTCTTTGAAAAGGTTTTAACATCGTACTGGTTCCCTCCTTAACAAATGGGTTAAATAAAATAATAAAATCTTTGACATGTTAAAAAAAAAAAAAGACATACACAGTCCCCTCTCTTGATATCGGCAGGGGATTAGGGGGATCCAGTTTAGTATACCTGCCCTTGTGTCCTTACATATATTAAAATCAGTATATGCTCAAATACCTCATATAAAATATTCCTTTATCTTATATGGCATGGTATTTACATATAATAATTTTACATGGCATAGTATTTACATATAATCTATGCACGTCCTCCTATATACTTTCATTGATCAGAGGTTGGTTGACTCCATGGGTGTAGAACCTGCAGATACAGATGGTTGACCATAATGCTTTTTCTTTCCCCTTCTTGGTACTAGGGATTTGACCCAGGGGTCCTTAACCACTGAGCTACATCCCCAGCCATTTTTATTGAGACAGGGTCTCAGTAAATTGCTTATGGTCTCACTAAATTACTGAGGCTGGCCTTGAACTTGTAATCCTCCTGCCTCCAATTCCCGAGTAATGGGGTTACCGGCCATTATGCCCCCTCCTTTTATTGGTACCAGGGATTGAACCCAGGGGCACACAATCATTTGAGGTACATCCCCAGTCCTTTTTTTATTTTTAGGCAGGTTCTTACTAAGTTGCTTAGAACCTCACATTGAACTTGAGATTCTTTGGCCTCAGCCTCCAGAGTCATTGGGATTTCAGGTGTGCTCCACTATCTTAGCATCATAATGCCTTTTTTTTTTGGGGGGGGGGGTACTGGGTATTGAACTCAGGGACGCTCAACCACTGACCCACATCCCAGCCCTATTTTGTATTTTATTTAGAGACAGGGTCTCACTGAGTTGCTTAGTGCCTTGCTTTTGCTGAGGCTGGCTTTGAACTTGTGATCCTCCTGTTTCAGCCTCCCGAGCCTCTGGGATTACAGGCATGCGCCCAGCCCCTTTCTTTTAAATCATGTTAAATAAAACTTTGACCTGGGGGCTGGGGTTGTTGCTCAGTGGTAGAGTGTTTGCCTAGCATGTGTGAGGCACTGGGTTCGATTTTCAGCACTGCATATAAGTAAATTAAATAAAGGTCCATCAACAACTAAAAAACAAAACAAAACAAAAAAAGAAACTTTGACCTAGCTGCATGTGGTGGCACAAGCCTATAATTCCAGCAGCTTGGGAGGCTGAGGCAGGAGGATTGCAAGTTTAAGGCCTACCTTAACAACTAAGGAAGGCTCTATGCAATTTTTATTTTGAGACCCGTCTCAAAATAAAAATTGATGTGGCTCAGTGGTTAAGCTCTCTGGGTTCAATCCTTAGTACCAAGGGGGGTGGGGAACTTGATCTATAATTTTAGTATCTTCTCAATCTAGCCACATTGCACTTTTTCTTCCTCTCCCTCAAATATATCTTTCTAATATATATTTGTAGGGCAAAAAACAGCCAAAGAACTATATTTGGTAAAAATCTTAAGGGAAATATTTACTTTTTACCCTACACATTTCTAGATTGAGGGTTTTTTTTCTGTTTTAAGTAACAATGTATTATTTTTGGAAATTACAATAAAACACATAAACACTTGTCCCAGTCTGCCTTTCCCTACTCTCACATACCCTTACCAATTTCTCATTCTCCAAATATCCATTCAAAATATATCTCTGAAACCTCACATTTATGGTCAATGAATTCTGAAGTAGGGTGCCAAGATAATTAAATGAGGAAATAACTATAGTCTTCCTAATCGTTAACGGTGCTAGAACAACTGGACATCCAATACAAAAGGTTAATGTTGAATCCTTACCTCACACCAAATAAAATAGATCAAACAATTAAATGTGAAAATTAAAACTATAAAATTCTTAGAAGGAAATATGGGGGCAAATCTTCATGATCTTGTATTGGGTAATTGTTTCTTCGATATGACATCAAAAGCAAAAGCAATCTAAGAAAAATATGTAACTTTGGATTTCAAAAAACTGAACTTACATGTATCAATGGATAGCATAAATAAAGTAGAAAGATAACCCACAAAATGGGAGAGGATATTTATGAATCATTCCAGACAAGGGACTTGTCTCTAGAATAAAGAACACTTGCAACTCACAATAAAGACAATCCAATTAACAAATTGGTAAAGGATTTGAACAGTTATTTCTCCAAATAAGATATACAAATGGCCAATAAACACATGTAAAGCTACTCAACATCATCATTAAGGTAATGTGAACCAAAATCATAGATACCACTTCAGACCCACTAATGTTTATAGTAAAAAAGATAATAAAAAGTGTTGGTGAGCATGTGGAACCCTCTTATGCTGCTGGTAGAAATGTGAAATGGTACAACCTATTTAGAAACAGTATGGCTGTTCCTCAAAATTTTAACTCTTTTTGTGGTGCTGGGGCAGGGTCTAACACACGCTACTATCACTGAGCTACATCCATAGCACTACGGATTGAACCCAAAGTTGCTTAAGCACTTAGCCACGTCCCCAGTCCTTTTTATTTTTCAGGGTCTTGCTAAATTCCTGAGGCTGGCCTCAAAATTGCAATTCTCCTTCCTCAGCCTCCATCATCACTGGGATTAGAGGTGTGAGCCACTGAGCCTGGTTTCAATTTTATTTTTGAGACTGAAAAGTTGCCTGGGCTGGCCTCAAATTTGTGGTCCTCTAAGCCTCCCAGTAACTGGGAATGCAGGCATGCACTGAGATGCCTGGCTCTCGTGTTAAAGTTTGGCTCAGATATACTCCAAGAGAAATGAAAACATGTTTACAGAATAACTTGTACACCAACGTTTACAGTAGCATTACTTATAATATTCTAAAAGTGGGAACTACCTAAACATCCTTCAGCTGATGAACAGATAAATAAAATGTGATAAATCCACACAATGGAATACTTTTTGGACATAAAAAGGAATGAAATGCTGATATATGCCAATACATGGACAAACTTCAAAAGCATCTTGCTAAGTTAAAGAACCAGCCACAAAAGACCAAATACTGTATGATTACATTTATGTGACATGTCCAGAATAAGTAAATCACACTAGAAAGTAAATTATTTGTTGCCTACTATTCTGCATTTGGGGAGAAACTGAGAATTACTATTTCTTTGAGGAGTAATACTAATGTCCTAAAATTGTGGTTGTACATCTCTGTGAGTATACTAAAACTAACACTAAAATTTAGATTTTATACACATTTATTGTGTCGTCTATGAACTGTATCTCAATAAAACTGTAAGGATGGGGATGTAGCTCAGTGGTAGTACCTTTGCCTAGCATGTCTTGATCCCCAGCACTACAAAACTGTACAAAATGTACTTCTGCCATGCAACCTACCCATTTTATTACAATCCACATTAACAACTCCATTCTTTCAATTCCTGTAAGCTCTTGAAAACAACTACAAAAAAATTGGAAAAAAAAGAAAAATGCAAACTACATTACACAATTTAGCACTGTTACACTATCTGATAATGTTTATTATTATTTCCTATAGATCAGCCTTAATTTGTCAGCCAGATTGTAAATTTTCTTTGCTTATTTTGATGAGTACTAGCAACTGAAACCAGGGCCTTGCACATGCTAGGCAAGCACTTTTAACCCTGAGCTATAGTTCCAGCACCAAACTATAATTTTCTGAATGTGTAAGTCTTCTGTTTCTCAGATATCTCTGAACTACCCAATACATAACTGAGCATACAGGAAGTACTGAGTAAATATCTGATGGTTGTGAAAAATAGAATGAATGTGCACGTGCTTGTTTTTACACACATGTATCGAACGCACAGAGAAGCTGTGGGAATGAATACGATCTTACATAGTGAGGTGAGAGAATGACACTATGTGAAACTGCAGAATACAAGATTTATTTAAGGGAAAAACAGCATGTTTTGGACAGTTTTGTTCTCCCCATCTTCAGCCTCCTGCTGCTCAATGACACCAAATGTCAACCATATTCTGGTCTCAGATTCTAAGGGAGTCACTGAGGTCCTAACTAGATACTCAACTTCTTGTGTCACTATTCCCCCATCGCTTCCTCTTCCTCCTCCTCTGTCCAGCTCAGATCATCATCTGAATCCTCAGATTCTTCCTCATCCATCTCTAATACAACCCCTGCCCTAGCCTTCTCAGCTAGTGCATCAGGGTGCTCCAGCTGGGCCCAGGATCCTGGGTCAGCCTTGACCAGGGAGATTTCAACCCGAGATGGCATCAAGGAGACAGAGCTCTGCTCCACGTTTATGACCTAAGAAGGAGGGAAAGATACAGAGGAACATAGAAAAAAGAGAGAATGAAGAAACCAAAAGGATTGGGGTAGAGTGGTGATTAATGAAGAAAGAAAAATGAAAAAGGGTGAGAGAGAGGAGAGAAACAGAAGAAGGGAAAAGGAAGGAGGGGGCAAGGGAAAAGGAAATGGAGGGAAAAGAAAAGGAATGTGAAAGCAAATGAAGAGAAAAATCTCCACTTTCCCACTACAACTCCTTCCCTCAGGATACCCTTTTTTCATTCCATCTGGTCCTTCTTTTACCCCATCTGTTTCCCCAACCTTTGTCCCCTTCTCTTCACTTACCCCCCAGAGCTTCATCTGTGCTTGGAACACGCGGTTACCGTCAAAGACAATGTGGATATGAAGCTGAGAAAAAAGAATTACAAGGGTAGTAACAATCAAAGAAGGGCAGAATAAGTCATTATCACAGAGAATCAGGCCAGAGGTATGTATGATATGACTCTGACCTAAAAGTTCTCTCTTCCTCTCAGGGAACTATGGAGCCTGTAAGTTAACTGCATACAGAATCTCTGCCTATAATAGTATATCACCCAATTCACCATCCTCCCATCCTCCACCAGACCATTCCTCACCTCAGTTTGGCTGGCCTTCACCCAGTTGAATGCAGGAAGTGGAATCTGGCCATACACAGTCACCACTACTAAAGAATCTGTCTGGTGCCAATCATGACGGCAAGATGCTGGCAGCTAAAGAGAAGATGTGAATAGTAGATGGTAAAAATAAACTCTTAACCCAAAGGCCCAAGTGACGTTCTCATGGGGTATGTGCAGCAGAGTCTCAGAAAGACTAACAACAATGCTTAATGAAGCAATGCATCTGAGTTATAGAGGGATAAGGATGTTTTTTCAATACTGGGGATCGAACCCAGGGCCTCTTACATTCTAGACAAGCACTCTACCATGGAGTCACATCCTCAGCCCAGGAGCAGCATCTTATTTGGTCTGAATTAAAGGAAGAGAGTTTGGCCCTGAGGTACAAAAAGAGAGCTTATCTCTGGTATTGGGTTTTATCTTTTTTAGTGTGTATGTGGTGCTGGGGGTTGAACCCAGGGCCTTATGCATGCAAGACAAGCACTCTACCAACTGCACTATATCCCCAGCCCTGGCATTGGGCTTTAAGAAATCTGGGACTTGCTTACCTGCTTCCCCCAGTCATGTCTACCAACTCTGCATCCTGGCTGTGCCAAGAATGCCCCAAAATCCAGAGTCTGGATGCCACAACAGCTCCAAGACTTCATCCTGAGATAGAAAGATAATTCAACCAAATTTCCACACCAAGCTCCCAAAGTTACCATCAATATTGGGAGAAACCTGTCTTAAAGACCACCCAGGACCCTCCCTCACCCCTCATGGAATCGAGGTGCTCCTGGGTGGTAGGTACATGGAGTAGCATCACTCTCAGGGCCTTGGTAAACCTAACAAAGATAAAGGAGTCAGGAACAGAATCAGGTCATTTTAAGGTTTACCCCACTCTGTCTCATGTTTATTCCCATCTATGCCTCTGGTATAGCATCTCTCATCCACATGCTTGAGCCCCCCAAAACTCTCACTCACAGCATCACATCCTGGGTTCTGGCAGCTGGAACCAGTCCGGATCAGACTACTATCAAGTCCTGGGCAAGAGAAACAGTCAGGAACCCATTAATTTCCCCAACCTTTGTGCTATTTCTGATAAATTCTACTTGGTGAAGTTTGACCTACTAAGATTCTACCTACCTGCCCCAGGTTCTTGGTCTAGTTCCTTTTGTTCCAATGCCATTTCCAAGGCTTGAGATACATTTAGTGGCAGTAACTTTGGAGGCAACTCTGACCTAGTGGTTATAGGCAGGTTATTTAGTTCTGAGCCATGAATCATGACTGCCAGCTCCAATACTCCCACACATGGAAATAGTCAAATACTACTGAAAAGCAGGCTTGGAGAAGTTGGGTAGCACCTCATTTCCAATGTGCACCTCTGTGTGGACACCCAAATCCCCAAACCCAGAGAAATCCTTAGGGCTGCTCTCATCCATCTACTTAGTTGCTCTAATTACATTTCTCTACAGAACTACACCAGTTCATCTTCCTCTTTATCTAATTCAGAACCTGATGACTTTCTTCTGTTGCTCATATTAGTCTTACAAATTATTCTCTGCAGCCTCCTGGCTACCAATACTACTTCATTTTCTTGATGGTTTATCTTATAGCTATTTTCTAAAAAGAAAAAAGAAATCAAGCCATTCTTAACAGTCTTCCTTGTGTTAAACTAAGTATATATTTGTGTGTAAGAGGAAGATATCTATCCCTCATCCTTAGAGCAAAAGGACAACACAACAGAAATTTCCTCCAAGGCACAGAATATATACCATCCAACCCCGACACCTGACCCTTCTTATCTCTTTGATCCTTAGTTACCAAACCCAAATGACCCAGTAATTACTCCTAGAAAGCTACATGAATATAGGAAAAACCCAGGAGCCTTCTCTTTACTTGGGCCTCTCTCTGAGCAAGGTCTCTTCTGACTTTGGAATTGTATTCAGAGGTCTTTGTTCCTGAAGTGAACTTGTAGCAGGGCCCTCAGGCTGAGGGGCCTCAGGAAGCTTCTCAGCACAATGCGGTCCCATAGTACAGCCCTAGTATAGATAAAGAGATAAAGATTAGAAATAGAGGGCTGGGGTTTTAGCTTAGTGGTACAGTGCTTGACTTGCACACATGAGGCACTGGGTTCAATCCTTAGCACCACATAAAAATAAATAAAGATATTGTGTCTGTCTATAGGAAATAAAGGATTTACCTTGATGTTTAAAAACTCTGAGAAATCTACAGTTCGCTTTCGGCAACAGGACCATCCCTGGTAACGAGAGACCCAGATCAGCTTTGATTCCTGGGTATACTTCCTTTGGGAAATGTTCTTGTTATCCCACCTCACCTACTGCTCACCTTTAGTGCATCATGGAAGATTGGGACCCCAGGGTGATAGCGACAGGAATCTATGGATACCAGTAGAAAGATCAAGATAGGAAAGATAACTATACCAAATATCACTTCTCCCTTTCCTCTGGGTTTTCTTTTCTTGTAAAAGAATAAATCAGCAAAGGTTTAAGATCACTCAGCCCAATTAAATAGCCAGAAGTACATGAAGTTTATCCCACCGTGCTCCCAACAGTCTTACAGTAAACCATTCCCCTAATACCCAGAGAGCCCACAGCCAGGTCAGGATTTACTCACCAGAGAGATTGGTACTGGGGTCAAACTGTTGCCCACAGCCTTTGTTATGGCAGAGCAGAGACATGGAGGCGTTGGCAGAATAACTGAAAGGGTATTTCAAGGAGTCTGGCTGTCGTGTGGGGAACACCTCTTAGTCCGGAGGCTTTTAGCTGCCTGAAAGGGCCAGCTGTTTCTATCTTTAGTTCAGGAGGCGGACACCTCCTAACATGGGCAAGGGAACTTCAATTGGTCTCCCTAGCCAATAGGAAAGAGCACAGGAGCATTTTAACTCTGAGGCTCAGGAAAAAAGGATCAGGCAAAGTAGTACTTGGAACTTGGGTGAGGTCAGCTAAGCACTGCTAAGACAGTTTTAGATGTTGCCAATTCCAAGCCTCTTACATACTACCAGCTGCTCAGAAATATATACCAACTGAGACCCCACCCCAACTCAATGAAGGTTTCTTCCAGCCCATTTTCTTCCTCTTTTAAAGCAGCTACCCTGGCAACCACATTACTTATGTGTAGTGTTAATAGCACTGATCATTTCTAACCACAATAGTATGCTTCTCACCCCATCTCCTCCCCATGTTTGTCTAGAATGATGATTATTAGTTCAATCAAAAGGGCCATAAAGGATTATCCTTACAGTCTACTGCTGAACTCCTGAGGGGAAATTCCCACCCCCCATCCCTCCCCTTCAAAAATAGCACAGAAAATTAAAAGGCTTAAAATGTATTTTAATAAGTTGATGCTGCATTACTGCTCCATTTCTCAGAAAACTCCAAATTTAAGGTATCAGGAACAAATCAAACATGGTACACCAATAAAAAATGCACAGCATAACTACCTAAGATAGGCAAGGCTAAGAGCTACTGTCAGACCATCAGCATACAGCAACCCTGTTCCCAAGACTGTACTAGGCCTATCAAGAAAACCTGTGAATAGCAACATCATAGACACAGAAGGGTCAATTCTTGGGTTGTCTTTACCCATGAAAAAGATGGAGGCAAGTTAACACAAGAATTTTTTTTAAAGATATACTAAAATGAAAAGTTCTAAGAGAAAATGTCTTCCTTAGGACATGAAAGGGTAATATATGGGATATAACAGAACTGTTATGTATGTTGTCTGTGACCTCTGTGGACATTTGCCTGAATTCTCACCTGGGAGTGAATGGAGCAATGGGGCTAAGGTCATTGGGGGATGTTTTGTTTTTGTGGTATATGTGGCAGTGTCTCTGGGATTGAGGGGTATAAGGACAAGTAAGCAAATAAAACATGATGAAAAAAAAATAGAACGGAATGATCAAGATTAATAGGGCTCTAACTGGATCCATTTTGCTATGGTTCACCAGCCCTCAACAATCACATTTGAGATTTCAGGAATGCACCACACAGAATCAATTAAACAATATTCCACACAGAACTGATTTGTTAAATACCACCCCTCCCTTGCCCTCTGCCTCCAGCATACTCCCTAGAGTAGTACAGGCAGGGAAGACCTAACTATTGGGAAGAATCCCTAACACTTTTCCAGGGTAGAATTCTGGCTAGTCCAAAAAGGGTCCCTTCTTTTAAGGGTTTTGGGAAACTAGACAATGCAACTTTATTAGTATCGGCGACGTTTGTTTGGAGCAAATTCAGCTCCAGGAGCGGCACGGTTGAATGCAGGAGGGGTTCCACCAATTGCCCCAATTCCTTCCATTGTGGCAGCTTGGCCAAAGCGTTCAGTTGTTGGTGGGGTCTTCAAAGAGAAAAAGAAAGCACATTACAATATAACCATTGTCCTGGGGTTCCCACCCATCTATAACCTTTGTACTGTAGGCCATTTCCGCTCAATTATTCAAGGCTCCTAATGCTGGTTATGGGTGACCAAGGATATCTAGAACTACAGTGGACAACCCTGAGAAGATGTCTGAATTAGAGATCCACCCTAAAATGATACCTTTATAATTTATCCATATTCCTCATTACTGAACAAGCAATAGCACATACTAACTTCCTAAGCTAGGTAAGTTCTAGCCAAGTCCTTTTTCCTGAGGTAGGTATGTAGATAAGGGCCATCTCCAGCAACCTTGAGGCTATCCAGTTTTGGCACTATTATGGCAACAGAACCAAAACAAGCTCTGAACTCTATAAGCCATGAAACCTTTAGATTCATTTTTTAAATTTTTGTGGTACAGGGGATTAAACCCAGGATTTACCACTGATCTACATCCCCAGCCCTTTTCATTTTTTGAGATAGGTTCCTGTCACTAAGTTGCCCAGATTGGTCTGGAACTTCCAATCCTCTTGTCTCAGTATGAGTAGCTGGGAAGATTCACATCTATTTCATATTATAATGTATACCCTTTATTTGACTTGCTCCCAAAATCTACCTGTTCACCCAAGACAGCAACTAAACATCCTGACCAATCAGACAGAGGTCAGCTGTCTTAACTCTGACATAAAAATAAAGTTTGATAACTGAGTTTTTTCAAGATTAAAAAATAAAGACATTAGGGCTGGCAATGTAGCTCAGTGATAGAGTGCTTGCCTAGCATGCAAGACACTGGGTTCCACCCCCAGCATCACAAAAAAGAAAAAGAAAACCTTTAAAATGGGGGCTGGGGTTGTAGCTCAGTGGTAGAGCATTTGCCTACCACATGTGAGGCACTGGGTTTGATCCTCAGCACCACATATAAATGAATGAATGAATGAATAAATAAATAAATAAATAGTATTGTGTCCATCTATAACTAAAAAAATATTCTCATTTGACAGAGTGTCTGCCTTGCATGCACAAGGACCTGGGTTCAATCCCCAGCACTACAAAAAAAAATTTAAAGTTACATTTCAAGTTTATCAGTAGTCTTAAACACTGATGGATACCTATAACAAAACTGAGATAGGTCCCGAGGCAATGAAGGTAAAGCCCTTTTTCCTCTTCCTCCTACCATTTGGAAATTACTACTAAAACCCTATAGTTTATTACCAGGCCCAAAGTTCCATCCGGCATCATAGTGGCAGGTCCTGGAGGAGCTGGGGTACCAGCTGGCACAGGAGCAGGGGGCATGGCGCCTCTGTTATTTATGCCCATAGCACCTAAAGCAGAGTTGTGTGATCAGTACAGGGAATAGAGATTGACAGTTTCTTTCTATACCAAAGGAAATAATTTAACAAGACCTCTCAACCCCCAAGAACATGTTGTTCCTATAAATGTCAGACTTTTAAATCTGCAGTAGGTAGTAAAAGCTACATACTTCATCAGATACCAAACAAAAATGGAAAAGGAAATCAGATCCATTGATTAACCCCTTAATTCCTTACCTCCCATAGCCATCTGGCCCATCCTTATCTCTTGCTCTCTCTGAAAAAAAAAAAAAAATTCTTAAGAGTTCAAGACAGCAGTGCATTTTACCACCATCCACTGATGATCACTCACTAAGGGATGTGATAACACATCCCTAGAACAATGAGACCAAGACGAGGAACAGAAAGAGGGGTGAAAAGAAGGGGGAGGGTGCTGGGGATATAGCTCAGTTGGTTGAGTGCTTGCCTTGCATGCACAAGGCCCTGGGTTCAATCTCAGCACCACAAAAAAAGGGGGGGGAAGGGTTAGGGTTGAGGCTCAGCAGTAGAGCACTCGCCTAGCACTTACGAGGCCCTGGATTCGATCCTCAGCACCACATAAAAAATAAACAAAGATATTTAAAAAAATTTAAAAAGGGGGGATATTTAATTTCTTCTGGGACACCAACTTGTACAACTATAAGGATAGCAATGTCTCATCTTACAGTCACTAAGCCTAAACAGCTTTCCATCCCAAATTGCCCATGAGAAAAAGATAAGCTCCACTTCAAACCTTACCTCTTTCCTATAAATTCTTTTTCTAGAATAAGTTTCATAGCATAGAAAAACTGGTCATAACTTGGAGTCATAATGAACAGTTCATGGTGGATTTATGATATCACAACTGGCCTGGTGTATCAAGGGTACATGGGACATATACCGCATCAGGGAAGGTCCCCTTGAATCCTTCCTGCTGTCGCCGCATCATCTCTTCTTGTTGCCGCCGCATTTCTTCCTCACGGCGCCTACGCTCCTCCTCCTGCCTATAGAGTCACCAAAGTTTTTAAGATACAAGCATTCCAGGACTTGAGCAAATTATTTTAATAGGAGACTGAGCCAAGCAGATCAGTCTGCTGAAACTATCATAGCCCATCAGGAACTAAGGCAACATCCACAGAATTATCTAGAGAACAGCACTTAGCTGCTCTCTCTTTATCACGGCCCCAGGAAATTCCTAGAACCACAGACAGCTAAACATCTCCCATTTCTGGAGAACCAGAGAAGCACCCAGGAGATATTTGCTAATACATTTACAAAGGTATGATATAGCACACTGGTAAGGAAGTAATGAGTTAACTCATTTTAAAAAAGGAGGTCTGGGGTTTTGGCTAAGTGGTAGAGCATTTGCCTAGCTTGTGTGAGGCACTGCATTAGATTCTCAGCATCACATATAAATAAATAAAATAAAGTCCATTGACAACTAAGAAACTATTTACCAAAAAAAAGTGTGTGGGGGTGGTAGGGTGGTAGGGATGTTTGAGAAAAGCAGTTACCTGAGCTCCAGTTGCTTTCTTTTTTGCACCTCTTGGTTGTGCAGCTCTTCCATTCTTCGAAGTTCTTCTTGGCGCCTCATCAAATCTAGAAACAAATTGATAGTATTGGTCATTCTCTTCATATATGCCCAATAATTTTCCATAAATAATGATCCAGAAAGCACAGGGCATGTGTACACTGGTAATCCCAGCTATATAAAAGGTTGAGGCAAGAGGATCAAAAATTTTGAAGCTGGCTTGGGAAACTCGGCAAGACCCCATCTCAAAATAAAACAAAAAGGGCTGGAGATGCAGCTTAGTAGTATGTTGAGAGCCACAGCCAAAGGGGCCCCAGCAAACTTCCAGCTGCCAGCTCATGATTGGCTCACAACGGCCCCAGCAACATCTAGCTGATTGGCTCCTCGGCCCCAGCAACATCTAGCTGATTGGCTCCTCTGCGGTGATGCTCATTGGGCTGTTTCCCTGCCCTTTCAGACCACGGAGCTGCTCATTGGGGGACTTTTTTGGCTCCGCCCACGTGACCCAGCCAATTGGCCTCAAGAGCAGGAGGATTGTGGGAGAGGGAGAGAAGCTTGTGGGGGAGAGAGAGGCTTGGGGAAAGCCGGTGGTGGCAGTTGAGGCTCTGAGGGTTTTTCCTGAGAGACTATTTTGTTTGTCGTGTGTGGTTCTAAAAATAAAGTTAGTTTCTTTTGACAAGTGGCTCCTGATTGTGCCCAGCCAGACTGCGGCATTTGGTGGCTCGCACGGGGAGCGACTGAGGGTAAGTGAAACTGCTCGCCCCTGAGGGCAGGGCGAGAGGATGGGTAGCCATTTTAAGATTCCTCTTTTATTTTGCTTCACTTTTGTTTTAAGTTGCCTGTCCCTGGAGATGAGTGAGACGGAAGAAAAACCGCTCACATCTGAGGAAAAACTATTTACGTCTGAGGAACAGATAGGGAGAAAGGACGGATGCCCATGTCAGGAGGATAGAAAGGCTATAATGACTTTTTGTTGTTC